TGTGTGTGTGTGTGTGTGTGTGTGTGTGTGTGTGTGTGTGTGTGTGTGTGTTTGTGCGCTCGCGCGCGCTCGTGTAAACATTTACATCGCTCATGTGCCTTTGAGAAAGATAACAAAACATAAAATATCTGCAGCTCTGCTTCTCTTTCCCAAATAATATTAAGACATTATTCCTGGAGATGCGATAAGCGTTGCCACGTTCTCATGCGCATGCTATTTTAAAAAATAATAAATTTATTTTTCTCTGCCTGATCCTTAACAAAGATGAGCTGATATTATAGATAAAGATACGTTTACGGGAGTGTACGCTTCTGAGCAAAACTCTCTCAACCTTCTTTTTTGTGTGTGTATTAAAAAATTTTAAAGTTGTAGAAAAATAAAAATACTTTGTCCACTTAAAACGACACGAGACCATTAAGAAAGAGGTGCTTAGCGCTCATATGAGCTCCGTAAAACCCTCTACTAATACTATATAATAATAAAGAGGCGCTTGAAGGAAAGATGTGAGGCAGGAGATCCAGAGGAAGACCAAGAATAACATGGATGGAAAACCGAAGAACATGGACTGGCCTGGATATGGCAGAATGTGCAACAGCAGCCCGCGACCATGAAGGATGGAGGGTTTATACACGTCAACCTCTGAGTCAGAGATGATACCTCCGGGTATCCAGGCCTTCACTGTCAAACTTTCTAAGACGGCCATCCATTATAGAGGAGAAAAGTTACTGTCTTACACAGTGCCACTTATGTAGAAAAAAATGTCTACGGGAGGAAATGAGAAATGGCCGTTTGTATAGGGTTTTTTTTCTCATACAGGTGGTAGTAATGCGGTGTTCACACATACAGCAGTAACGAGACTGAGTAAGACAAAGTTTTTAAGTCCAGCAGGTCCGGGCTACTCCGGATACATTTCGCCGAGCAATCGGCCTCCTTACCCGAGTGATGTTTCATGCTCGTCGTGTGAAATTATTACACGGGAAGCTTGCCGAAATTTTCAAACATGCTTAAAATTTTCGCCGAGCGAGAAAAGAGTCGCCGAGTCAATAACTCGCTCCAGGAAAACTCGGGGAGGACTCGGGGAGTGTCAGAAATAGCTCGGTGTCCAAAGTTGCATACGTTGTCGAGTGATAGTGACACGCCGACGAGATCTGAATGGTAGCCGTGTTAAATTTCATACTCTGGGGGCTAAATTAATGCTCGCTGTGTACAAAGCTTGCTCTGGGAGTCTGAGTTACTCAAGCACGGCGTAGAGATCTGTAACTATTTTCTGTTGCCAGATATCGAAGACTGACCGCCAGCTTGATGCCAGGTTCCAGTGACTTCCTCTAGAAAGTGTTTGCCTCGTGGATGGTCGGGCCAATTTTCTCCAGTAGTTCTTGGAAAAAACTCTGGAGGAAGGAACACTAAGGAAGTTCCTGAAGGATGCCACATCTTCAAAATGCAGTTCAGCCTTCAGCTTCACAAACTGTCCATACAGGAGTCTTCTAATGAGCCAGGGTCTAACCCAAAATGTCCTCCTCCTCCTCCTCCTCCACTTCCTCCTCCTCCTCCTCCTCCTCTTCTTCCTCCTCTTCCTCCTCTTCTCCTCTTCTCTTCTTGTACCAGCACAGCTGCAAGATCACCATATGTATACATAAAGTACACATCCATCATCTGTGTCATATAAGATGTCAAAGGAATGAGCACAAACATTTTGCCCCCCTCTTTATATATTACTAGCTGGGCCCCCTTTTGATGAAAGGAATGATCGGTGCATTAACGTCAGCCGAAAGTCATTGGCTTATGATATTTACATTCTAACGGAATGGAGCAAATCTTGAGAGATGCAAAACTTTGAAGGTTTAGACCTATACTATCAAAACAGTGCGCACAGTTAGTGAAGGGAAACCCCCTTTTCTAAAATTACAGAGACATAAACGTTGGCCAACAAAAGCGATCGGCGAAATAAAGAAATTTAGTTTTTAGCAGCAAAACTGTCTCGAAACTGAAAAAACGAAGGGCGTCACGATATGGAGAATATTTTAAAGAATCTTTTGGCGAAAACTGCATGTTGATCGATGCAGCCATTAGAAAGTCTTTTGAATTGCAAAATTCGGCCACCAGAAATAGATAATAGATGACATTGCACGCCGACGAACTCGGCGACGGGTCGGCAAGATGGTCAGCATGGTCGGCGAGTTTGTCGGCGTTTGAAATTTTACTCAGCTTCTATGTTTCACGGCTCTGTAAGCGGCCAGGATTCAAACTAATTGCTCGGCAAGACGCTCGGTGATATGCTCGCCGTCCTAAATTTTTGCTCGGCGAGCGTCTCCCTGAGTGCTCATCGACACAATAATGTCAATAGTCATGGCCAGATGCTCGTCACGATTAAACCCGAATTTGGCAAATCTTGTCGGGAATTGCTCGTCGATTCTACTTCTGTCAGTGTGAACACCGCATTATAACAGGTTCGACTAGAACTTTAACCAAATGTTGAACCTTAATTACTTATAACTTATTCTAAATCTTGATAGGTTTTCTTTCTCGTAATCACTTTATTCTATGTTCTTCTGTAAGGATAATCTCTACTAAGCTCATCATCATCATCATCATCATCATCATCATCATCATCATCATCATCATCATCATCATCATCATCATCATCATCATCATCATTATTATTATCCGAGGAGGAGGAGGAGGAGGAGGAGGAGGAGGAGGAGGAGGAGGAGGAGGAGGAGGAGGAGGAGGAGGAGGAGGAGGAGGAGGAGGAGTCTTTTCAATTATCAAGAGTAAAATCAGAGGCCCACCATGCAGAGCTAAATACCAGCACCTGGAAGATGAGTATTCTGGGTACTCCTATAAGCGGGAACAAAATATCACATGTTGCTGGGACCAGGTTGAGCTAGCGAGACTGCGGTCGGACCATCATTCGAGCTTAAGATGGTATAAGAACTTTGTAAATGAAGAGCTCAGCCCATGTTGCCGAAGATGCGGCCATGAAAAGGAGGATGTCAAACATACTTTTGAATGTCAATGAACAACGGCAATTCGAATATTTGGACGAGTACCTCTAAGTATTTTGACAATGGAGCCGGAAAAGAGCCTTGCTCTCGCTAGAAGATTTCTTCGTGGAGTCCACCAGGCCTATTAAGGAAACAAAAAAAAATCATCATCATCATCATCAGCATCATCATCATCATCATTATCATCATCATCATCATCATCATCATCATCATCATCATCATCATCATAATCATCATCATCATCATCATCATCAAGCATGCAACCGTTTATAATAATATTCTCATCGATGGCTGTTTGTTAACTTCTATGATAAAATCAATGTGAAGCTCGTAATGCCGCTTTGATAATTGTCCCATAACTTATCATTTATATCAGGAATTTCGGATTTTGATAAGTGACAATAATAAAGTGTCACGACACGATGGAACCAGTCGCTTGTCAATTTTTGGGCATATGGAGATATTGGTATCATCTTAAAGCTTTTACATTTGTTTTGCTTTTGATGAATGTATTACCAGCCCATCTTCAATAGAGGTCGAAATATTTGCGATTGAAGGGGGTAGGGGTCGCCTGGTTTCAGAGGTAAAATAGGTGAAATAATGGCCACCAAAATTTGGTGACTCCCACGGCTTTAGAATTCTTGGAAAGTGTAAACTTACATTTCCTGTGCCTTTAATCAAAGTTTTCAGTAACGTCTACAGAGTAGTGTATATTTAAATGGACATGAAAGGAGTTGAGCCCAAAAATCAAAATTAAAATTTTTTTTTTTTAAATTCCTAAACTGGAAGATAAATGCCGCTTTCTTCGACTTCATTATTAGTTATGACAAGTGCCTGATTTCACCACAATGCCTTGTCTGCCTCTTACAAATCTAAACAAAGTGTTGACGTGCAAGGGGTAGCAGACTCCAGCCCGTATAACAAAAGACGTATGTATTATGTTGCTACCTCAGAATTACAACGCTCTATCTGCTCACTACCTTGTTTAAAGAAATTTGATGTATAAAAATAATGTTGACTTTCACAATGCGTTTCTTTGAATAACTTGATAACGACTTTGAATAACCTGACTATTTTGATAGAGTAGATAGAATATTTGGTTTCTGAACTCGTAAATCTTTTTAATATGTAAACTTATTGGTATCATTTAAAAGCTTGTTCTTTTGTCTTGCTGTCGATGAAAAATAAATACTCATCTGTCATGAATAGAAGTCGAGATATTTGCGATTAAAGGAGGTAGGGGTAAACTTATTTCAGAGGTAAAAATTAACGAGAAAGTGGCCTCGAAAGTTTGGCAACTTCCAAAGCTTAAGAGTCTTTAGAAACTGCAAATTTACATTTTTGTGCCTTAAATCAAACGTTTTCAGTACAATCCCCTCAGAGAGTTTAAAAGGACGTTAAAGGTGATGAGTAAAAAAACCCCCAAAAATTCGATGAAAATCTCCAAACGGACAGAAAAATGCCAGTTTCTTCGATTTCATTATTTTGAAAAGCACCTGATTTCACTACGATGTATCACTTTATTTTTTATACAAACTTGGTTTTAGCAACTCAAAACGGCCGAGAATGTCAGAAAAAGCTTTGTAATTCTGGGTTAGCAATGTGTCATGAAGAGGTTGAATCAAGCGCTCGTCAATTTTTGGGCACGAGAAGTTGTTGGTATCATTTTAACTCGATTCGTACGTCGTGTTTTACTATCGTATCCATACATATGACTTGGGGAACTCTGTGCCACCTCTTTCCAAAAAGGAAATTTACTCGTTAATCCGATCCGTACGCTTTGCATAGTTGTCGATCAATATGATTTTTTTTGGGGTGAAATACTGAACGTTTCAATTTGATTTTCGTACTACAAGAATTCTATAAAGTGAAGAATACAACCCCGGGGGTACAGATTGACCCAAGGGCGTACTGACAGGGTTAGAGCTTGTTATTTGTCTTGCTTTGGAAGAAAAGACTAGCATTCTATCTTGAAAAAAGTCGAGATATTAGCGATTGGGGGAGTTTGGTTCGCCGTGTTTCAGAGGCAAAATAAGCGAGAAAAAGGCTGCCAAACTTTGGTGACTTCAATTACATAAGAGTCCTTGTAAACTGGAACTTTACATTTCTCTGAGCCTTTTATCAACGTTTTCAGTTTTTAAAAATTATGTACGAAAATGGGTACGAAGTATAAAAAGAGCTACGCTTAAGCTAAAGATAAATTAAATGAACTGTGGGGCAAGAACGAGGCCTCCCATTTAGCGTCAGTCTCAGATAATACCAGCAGCTTATCTGAACGAGCATATCTGAACACACTTGTCACGACGCGGTGGAATCAGGTGCTCGTCTATTTCTTTTATTATATGAACTTATTAGTATCATTGAAAAGCTTGTTCATTTGTCTTGCTTTCTGTGAAAATAATACTCATCTGTCATAAATAGAAGTCAAGATATTTGCGATTGAAGGAAGAAGGGGTAACCTGATTTCAGAGGTAAAAATTAGCGAAAAAAGGGTCGCCAAGGTTTGGGAACTTCCAAAGCTTCAGAGTCCTTAGAAACTGCAAATTTACACATTTCTGCCTTAAATCAAAATTTTTCAGTAAAATCAACACTGACATTTTAAAGGGACGTTAAAGGGGATGAGTCAAAAAAAGATTCGATTAAAATTGTCAAAAGGACAGAAAAATGCTAGTTTCTTCGATTCTGTTATTTTGACGAGCGCCTGAGTTCCCCACGATGCAACACTTTATTTTTATACTAACTTGGCGTAAAAAAGAGACCATCCATTTCATGTAGGCCATTGTTTTTGTTCACGAGTTATGTGAATAGTCAGCAAATGTCAAAAGCTGTGTAGAGGGGAGGTTGTTTATTTTGATGTGCGCAAAACGCTTACTGGGCATTATGACACATGTTGGATGAGAGAGAGAGAGAGAGAGAGAGAGAGAGAGAGAGAGAGAGAGAGACAGAGAGACAGACAGACAGACAGACATACAGACAGACA